TCTCATGATTAATAATGAAACAACTCCTTTAAACACCTGTTTATTCATATCAGCAACATTCCCATTGCTTTTCGCTCAGATAGCAAATTTTGCACTTTTCACACTTGCCACACGCAATAAGGGAGTGCCATTTGGCAGAGTTGCCAGACTGCATTAATCTTGTACGCACTTTAGGCCATGCTGAGGCTAAGCCATGTTAAGAGCTGCTGCGCCTAAGCCCGACTGAATTTTGCATTTTAATTGAATTCGAATTGAAATTCAAATGAACGCATATTAAAGGCTGTGCGAAGCGGGACAAGCTACTAGTTAGCTGTTACCTGTTGTTAGTTACCTGTTACCTGTTACCAATTACCCGCCACGTTTAATGAGCGCACGGCCCGAAGGCGACGCTTGTCAAATTGCGCGATTATGCAAAGGCCCAGACATACGGCTGAAAAGTAAGCTAAATAATTTTAATTGTCGCAATGCAAGACGCACCAAAATGGCATTGACGAACGCCTAATACCCTGTAATGGTGGACTGGAAAGGAATAGAAGAGAAGTGTTAAAAATGAGATGGAAATATATTAAAATTATCAATTAATTATCAACTTGGGTAAAATTTTGTTTGAGTGAATATGACTTAAATATATTTTTAGGACAAATGATTGACTGATTGAAGAACACCATTGGGTACAATCAATCAATAAATCACTCTTTCAATCCTATTCTATTGCATCTATAAACATATAAAAATACCTATATTTGTCGCCTAGTTAGATCTAATCTCAACTGTAACTCCTTAGCCTATATCATGACATAGCTAGCTGGCATAACTGCTGCAAAGGGTATCAAATAAACAAAAAGAAAACAAAACCGAGGCCATGTAATTAGCCTTTGTCTCGGCACTTATCGAGCTGCCTGCAAACAAAAAGAGAGAGAGGGAGAGCGAGAGAGAGCGAGAGATAAGTAGTTGCGGCTGCTGTTGGTGGAGCATTACAAATGAGGCGTTGGCGTGCGCCTTGGCAAAACTCTAGACTTGATTATTACGATTATGTTTATGCATTATGATTATTATGAGTATTTCAATTTAATTTCGCAACGCTGCATTCTCCAGTTTAATTGTTTTTTAAGCAAACATTTACAGTCATGTAGTCGTTAATCAAGCTACCTCCCCCCTTCCAGTGGCAAAAACAATTCACAGAAATTTCATATAAAAACAAGTTGCAGCTGCTATGTGATTTGTCGTGTAAACCAGCGAATACGCGTTAAGCATGCCAAAAACAAAAAACAGCGAAAAAATAACGAAAAGAAATGAAATACTCGACTTGATTAACATAACTCCGCCCCAACTAGCCAAACATAAAATCCGAACGATTCGAACGATTCAACGTTTTTCCAATTGCATTTCAGCTATTGCCCAACTGGCTGAGGGAAATGAAACGAGAAAAGTTGCGATTGGATTGCTGAGATATCACTTGGATTTCCCCACATAGTTCCCTCGGCCAAATTACTTAAACGATCTGCGAGCATTTAAACAGCTTCCATGCCTTATCCGCGTATCCATCTCAATAACTAATTATTTTCAGAAGTTTTTTTTTTCGGTCTTTCTCATTTGTTTGGCTGCCTGGCGCCAGCGGCTTTTTGTCATATCAGATGGAGTTGAGAAAATTATAGATGCACTCTCTATCAGTAATTGTAATTGTGGTGCACTTGATGTATTTAATTGCTAAAGCATTTCAAGCAGTCGCAACTAAGTCAAT